ATGACATTCAACTAGACTTGTTTTCATGACATTCAACTCGACTTGTTTTCATGACATTCAACTAGTCCTGTTTTCATGACATTTAACTAGACTTGTTTTTATGACATTCAACTAGATTTGTTTTCATGACATTCAACTAGACTTGTTTTCATGACATTCAACTCGACTTGTTTTCATGACATTCAACTAGTCTTGTTTTCATGACATTCAACTCGACTTGTTTTCATGACATTCAACTAGTCTTGTTTTCATGACATTCAACTAGACTTTGTGAAAAGAAACGAAATGCCAATAAACTGTATTTAATTGAAAAATCTCAATTATAATACGCAGTAAAAGAACGTTAAGTATATAACTTTTATATGACTCAAACAAAATGCTACCTTACAGAAAACCCCTATTAAGTCAGTTTATTGTGATGTGTTAAAATATTCTCAGTTTTGTTGAGATCTTTAATCACCCTTAAAGAATATTCTTTGTAATTAAGAAATAATCAATAATTATTTCATAATCTCTGAATATGTTTAAAACATAGATTTTGAATAATTAGAATTAGATAATTTTAAGTTAACATTAACACAACGATTCAATGAGCCTGTGAGGCAGGTGATCATGTGTGATTTTAGTCAATACACAGATGGTGTGATATTATGAGGTGAGTTTTTATCTGTCCCTGTAGAACTCATTATATCCTTTTGATTAAGATGATTTTTGTCAACATCAACATATTTATTTTATAGGATTATGGGAAGACAAACTTTATTTGACATTGACATTGGTTTTATGGAACTGAGAGAGAAAGATCACTTTTCTAACATTTGACATTGTAGTTCTCTGATTAGACGAAATGAAAAAGTTCCGATCAAGCTGAACACTTTGATTTGTGTGACTGGAAGATGAGTACTCAACAAGTTAAGTTTTTTTTATTAGGAAAAGGAAAATAAATTGAGTTATTGAGCTGTGAGGAACATTCTATCAATATTTTGCTCAATGTAACTGGGAAATGCAAATAGTTTTTTGTCACATTGAACATTATGATTCTGAGCGATTTGGAAGGGGCTAGTGACATTTGACAACAAAAGGTTTTGATTGGGAAGGGGCTAGTCATATTTAACAACAAAAGGTTTTAATTGGGAAGGGAGTAGTGACATTTAACAACAAAAGGTTTTGATTGGGAAGGGAGTAGTGACATTTAACAACAAACGGTTTTTGATTCGGAAGGGGCTAGTCATATTTAACAACAAAATGTTTTGATTGGGAAGGGGCTAGTCATATTTAACAACAAAAGGTTTTGATTGGGAAGGGGCTAGTGACATTTAACAACAAAAGGTTTTGATTGAGAAGAGGCTAGTCATATTCAACAACAAACGGTTTTGATTGGGAAGGGAATAGTGACATTTAACAACAAAATGTTTTGATTGGGAAGGGGCTAGTCATATTCAACAACAAACGGTTTTGATTGGAAAGGGGCTAGTCATATTTAACAACAAAAGATTTTGATTGGGAAGGGAATAGTGACATTTAACAACAAAAGGTTTTGATTGGGAAGGGGCTAGTCATATTTAACAACAAAAGGTTTTGATTGGGAAGGGGCTAGTGACATTTGACAACAAAAGGTTTTGATTTTTCCGGCAATGAGGCCATCTCGTTGATGGTCGGAGACTTAATTCTGCTTGAACAACACGAGCACGACAAGAGTCTGGAAAAGGCTCTTCTGAATGTTTTGTTGAAGATGGTATAAATAATGGGATTGATTGTGGATGAAACATAGCCCAGCCACAAGAAAGTTGTTATGAGGTAGTCTGGAAATGTTGATGGCCCCACAATCGGAAACAGGATATTAATCATGAAGAAGGGTGTCCAGCAAATTGTGAAGCAGAAGAAAACAATTCCAAGAACTTTGGTCGCCTTTTGTTCATTCATCACATGAGAACTGGTACCTAGAGCACAGATCATACCCCCTATTACTTTAAACTTTATGTGAGGTTCTTTTCTTAAAGAACGATCACAATCGAAATTATTAATTTGTGTATTTGTACAAGGATCATCGAAGAATGAGGTTTCACTGCTTTTAGTGTGATGTTGGTTAGCGTCACATTTGTCGCACTTGTGGATTTTCTCCTCCATGTTCACACCAAGGGAATTATTGGAGTTTTGTTGCAAGGATTGCTTCCGGGACCGTCTTGTGAAGGGTACTCTTCGACTGGTCTTTTCTGCACAAAATTTGGCCTTTTGTCGTAATAGACGAACTGTCAGAATATAAGATGTCACCATCACAAACATGGGGATGTAGAAGGCAGATAACGAGCCGAAGAAAAAGAAAAAACGATTATTTATAGCACACATGTGACTTGTTGGTTGTATGTTTTTAGCGTCAATGTTCCCTAGAACCGTAATCGGACTTGTTATTGTCATGGCAACCAACCATACGACAGCAATTTTCATGGTAACCATCTTTTTGGAGCTTCTGCGAGCTTTAAGAGGGTTTCGAATTCCCAAGTAGCGGCCAAGTGAGATAAAACACATGTGGATGATGGAGGAAGTACAACCGAGGACGTCACACGTCACCCAGACATTACAAGCCAACGATCCAAAAGGCCAGTAACCTTTAGGTAAAAATAAAACAAAAAACGATACATTAGTTGTAATGTTTCAATTATAAATTCATAAGAATGCAGTAAAGATTTTTATATACAAATTGACAATTGAAGTTTTAAGTCAAAACCAGAACTATGTAAGATACTACTTGATATTTTTCTAAAAAATAATATTTAATGAGTATTTGTATTGAAATGTTAAAATCTGATAAACTTATGTCACTTAAATGCATAAAATGTAGAGCAAAAAACATTTGTTATAGTTAACAAACATCTGAGCAGCGCTGCACATTGCTGTGATTTCTTAGTAGTGTCTGTTAATGTAGAACACATGTGACGAGTAAGTCTCAGGAAGTTCTGTAGACAGGATGGAGCCTGCAACCTTTGTAATACGAAAAAAAAAATGTTTAAGCAAAGTAACAAGGACAGAAAATATTTTTTCTTTGAAATTTGTGCAACTCCTTAGCCCTTTCCTGGTTGTATCTATGATTAAAGCTTGGTAGTCCCCTCCTGGCTACATCTATGGTCTCTGACACGCATTTCAATAGCTTTAATGTGGTGATGATTAAAGCTTGGAAGCGTATTCCTGATTAGGTCTATGGTTAAAGTTCGGTAGCCCTCTCTATACGTCTATAGTCTCTGATAGATCGTTTCAGCAACACTGAAATACTTACTCTCTGTAGCTTAGTAAATTTAAGTCATACAAGAAATAACAATCTATAACTCCAAACTATATATTCTTTAAAGGTTTTATTTGCAAACTAATGGAGGAATATTGTGATGGGTAAACGTTCCAACCATATTAGGCAACATCTGTGTATGTAACAAAGTGGAACTGCATACTCGAAGATAAAACGTATGATTCCAACAAACATACTTCTTATTGAAAAGATGAGAACTCACACCCTTAACGGTGTAAGTTTAAAACAATTAAGTATGTATGCAATGTACTTAAACTGTAAATTTATAGACAGAATAGAAAGTCAAGTAAGTGGTATGTGAAAATAAAATAAAAATCAACTGTTAACAAAACCATATAAATATGATTTTATGATAACTATAAAATCGCATGAACATAATATTATAGAAGATGGTGTCTAAAGTGCGTTAACTTACAATTGTGCTTATGTTTATAGAATATAGCTTTTTAGAAATATTACTATTAACATTTTATAATTCTATTGTGGGTGTACACAGTAGCGGATGAAGACTGGGATTATTGGGGCTATAGCCCCAGGACGGGCTCATATATTAATCATTCCACAGATTCTACTTTTGAGGAGAGAGCGTGTGTGTGTGTGTGTGACGTGGGTTGGCCTATCGTGCAATATATAGTGCATAGATTTGATTGGCTTGCCTCCGAATAGTGTGATTAGGTGTAGGCCCTCAGACCTAGCATATTTCCATACAATTTGCAATGCAAATTTTCTAGGTCTTAGCGAGGCTAGATTTAGTCACGATAATCAAGTGATAGGACTCGACCAATCAAAATCCACATTTTAATGACACTATATGCTAGGCTCCTACCTCGTGACTTACGCCCGACACATCGTATGATCAAGTGGTAGGCCTAGAATATGGCAAGACCTAAGCTGCTAGGCTATATTGAAGATATCTATATTTTTCAATTGTTCATTCTCAAAGGCTTCGACGTTTATTTAAGAAAAGAGTTCAATCATCTCTTCAAAGTAAGTAACAGTATTTTAAGCTTTCAGAATACATTGTATCAACTGTTTGTGTTTTATGAACAGAATTTTCAAATTGTTATTCCGTAAAAAAATCCGTCCTTGTTTGCGTACATTGACCCACTTATCAGGTGTAAATAATTCGTTAACAACTTGGCAAGCATCATTAATTGGAGGGTATAGAATACAAGTCATCCAAATACAAAATCTGAATTATTTGAGTTAAATACGGAAAATGTTACGAAATTATTAGTTAGCTCGTTCTGACATCTGTCTCTCTTTCTCACACACATACACACACAAAAACTCAAACACATACATGTGCGCTTATATATGCACATACATAATAGTCATTAAGTGTTCGTCTCATCTATTATACATATGTTGAAACACAAGAACAGTTGGGAATAATCAAATTCAAAGACAGGGAAAGAAAACAAATTAGAGAAAATAGTAGCTATAACTAAGAAGCTAACGGATTTATGGGCTTTTATCAACCAAGACAGTGGAAGTAATAATACAGATACTAAATCTCTGGATGCTGATGACTGTCAACTTCATATCAAATCGAGCTCTTGCCACCAATCAGGAGGTGCCGAAAACATAACCGCCAACCAAGACTGTGAAAACAATCATGTAGAGACTACAATTCTTGATGCTGATGACCATCAACATCATCAAATAGAATTGAGCTACTACCAACAGGAATAAATCAATTATTACAATGGTAATTAAGATAGTAACCCATCTTTTACATTCGACATTGGGACATGGACACAAGTTCCTGATGAAATGAGAGATTTTGATTGTGCATCAGAGATTACCTTTTGCTAGTACATGGATGCAGATTTCAGTGCATTTACAAAATCGATTCCGGTAACAAGTATAAACGCCAATGCGAGCAATTAAATAGAGAAGAGGTTAAAAGAGACTGGGTTTGCTACTCATCGTCGAAGGGGAACGCCTTCTGTGCTATATACACATTGTTTTCTCTAACAACAACTGGTTACTTTGACTGAAACCATGCTTCAAGGGACTTTAGTTGGCACGAAACAAGCTCGTTGCATCAAAGTTGCTTCACCAAATTTATTTGTACTACCAACAGCAAACGAATCAACAAAACTTGAACAGAGCAGATGAAGTCAGAGAAAAATATTGTCACCAAATTCTAGAGTATATTCTCACAGTCATAAAGTTTCTGTCATCCAGAGGGCTAGCATTTAGATGAAACAATGAAGTAGTTGGTTCAGTGCATAATGGCAATTACTTAGGAATAGTGAAGCTATTGGCTGAGTATGATATATTTCTTACTGAAAATATTCAGAAACGTGTAAATAGAGGAAAGAGTCATGTTTCATACTTATCATCAACTGTTTGTAACGAATTCATAGAAATCCTACACAAAGACGTTCCCATCATCATTATCTAGAAAAGCAAAACATCCAAGTATTAATCAGTGTCTGTTGATTCTACTCTGGACACGTCTCCTACAGATCAACTGACAATAATATTTAGATACGTTCTAGATGATGGCCCTGTAGAGAGATTTGTCACATTCTTATCAATAAACAATCACATATGAGCAGAAATTGCAAGAGTTCTAATTAATTTCACTGAAAAAAATGTTATGTGAATTCAAGGTTGCCGTAGGCAGTTTTAGGACAATGCATCTAGTATGACTAGCAAATATGTTAGCATACAAATCTTGATCAAAGAGAAAAATCCCCTAGGAGACTTTGTTCCCTATTGTGCTCCTTCGATCAGTTTGGTTGGTCAATGCACTTTAGACTTCTCTACTGAAGGTTTTTTATTTTTTGCCTTTGTTCAGAAGCTTTATGTATTTTTCTCAGCTTCAAACCACCTATGGAAATGCCTACATGATGTGCTTGAAAAACTAGGGTTTCTAAAGATAAAGAGGTTATCTGTCAGAAATGTGTCAATTATATATATATTTTTGCCAATTGTCAAAATATAATTTTTTGACTTATATTTCTTAATAGTATAAATACATACTATTTTGTTGCTGGGCTTGGGATTCTTCTACAGTAGGTGTCTGCGACTTGTTAGCGATAAATTTAACAATGAATAAGCAGCAAGCACTTCACTTGTTTTCAAAATAATATATATATTCAGAACAAGTTAATGTATGTACAACAAATTCTTCAACCCTATAGATATTATAGGCATATCATAAATACTATATATGTAGTTCTCTCTTTCTTGTCAAATATCCACTTAGATCTATTCAATTACTTTAATTTCTATCGCACTAGTATTCTGTATGTGATTCAGTAATAATTGTGTCGCAAGTTACCGTAATCATTTGGTCTTCTTTCTTCTGAAGATCCTCTGTTCTTTCTATCAAAGTACACTCAGGCTGATTCAATTACTTTAGAGCCACGCATCGACGGAATAAAATAATTTTTCTTATCTTCTTTTCTACTGATAGTTTTATTCTAACATATTAAAGGTTAGGCCTATCACTTCTACGATAGTTAACTTCACGCCAACTTTATTCTCTTTTGCTATTGTTACGTCTCTGTTCGTTTGTTAATTTTCCGTATAATTTAGTTCCGATGAAACTTCAGCGATACAAGTCCTTTCTTAACTAAAACTAGTTTATTCCCTCTCAATACAACTTTGCAATACACTTAATTTCCACAGTCATTTTAACTTAACACACGCAATAATTCACAACGATTCACGCAATTTACTACCGCGCTTGACTCAATTGTCCGCCTCTGTCTGTCTGCAATTATCTATCTATCTATGCCGTCACTTCTCACCGGTCTTATATACTATAAGAGCACATGTCTAGCAAACGCCAGCGTCTTCGCGAAGCTTCTAGACAATCATCACGTGTTACCAGGGTCACATGACTTCCGCTGTCGTAACACTATTATCCGTCTGCTTTGCCGCTCTACTCACGCTATTTTTATCTTTATCATTTAATCGTCTTTCCGCCTTCTATATTCTCGACGTCAATGTATTGCACGTAACGTTCGATATTCTCAACATCAATGAATTATTAACAAAACTTCCTACAGTCGTCTGATTTTAACTCTTAGTATAAGAAAACCTAAACAATAAAATATTCACTCACAAAAATATATTAATCATTAATATCTAAACCAAACAGTATTTTATATCATGACATAAACCCCCTCTTCAAGATAAAATATTTACAATATTTATTTTTGCTATATACAAAGACTGTTCTCAGTTCATACACAAAGTCTGCTCCAACATTTGATTTCCTTTGTCTATCTCTTCTAACATAGGGTCTCTAGTAGGTCTTCTGTTTAACAGGATCCCTCATCTTCA